AATCAGTGTCCCTTAAACTTTAAAAGGCGAGCACTGAGTTTTTCCTGACAAGATTGATCACAGCAAAGCCCCATTTGCAGAGAAAACCGTTTTCAAAGTTGAGAAAAAGTTCAATTTGTTAATCTCCTATAACTAAATTCAAGAAAAGTTAGACTTTTTATTTTCCCTCGAATGTATTCATTGCATTTCAATTCAAACGTTTTTCGGGGTTAACATTTAAAAAACGATTTTCAAATGTTATTTCTGCTGAGTAATAAATAAAAAGTGAGTAATGAAATGAATAAATAATACCCAAGCACTGAGAAGGGCTATTGATGGAGGACAAGCTGTCAAGAAGCAACCAGTAGAGTATAAAAGTTCTCATTCTCACATTAAAAAGGAATTGCAGAATCATTATTATTAATCATTACTCCCATCCTCAAGAAACCCGGTCTGGATCCCTCCTCCCTCAGTAATTACTGCCCCATCTCCAACCTCCCCTTTCTCTCAAAAACAATAGAATGTATCATCTCCAAACAACTCCACCGCCATCTCCAAACCAACCAGCTTTTTGAACCCCTTCAGTCTGGTTTTCGTCCCCACCACATCAGAGAAACGGCACTCATCAAAGTCCTCAATGACCTCCTCACCTCTGCTGACACCGGTTCCCTCAACATCCTCATCCTCCTCGACCTGAGTGCAGCCTTCGATACCGTGAGCCACACCATCCTGCTTACCCGACTCCAGGATATCGGTATCGAAGGTACTGCACTCAGGTAGTTCCAGTCCATACCTCTCTGACAGATCCCCCTTTATCTCCCTCAACAACCACTCCTCTGCCACAGCTTCAGTTACCCAAGGTGTTCCCCAAGGTTCAGTACTCGGCCCCCTCCTCTTCATCATCTACATCCTCCCCCTTGGTCAGATTCTCCGCCAATACAACCTGGACTTTCACTGTTACGCTGACGACACACAGATTTACCTCAGCACCAAATCCCCCCACAACCCCCCCCCTCATCCACATCGAATCCTGTCTGACTGTAATAAAATCCTGGATGCAACACAACTTCCTCAAACTCAACAGCAATACAACTGAACACCTCCTCATCGGCTCCAAATCCACCCTCAGCAAAACCCTCAACCTGACACTCACCATTGATGGCACCCCTGTTTCCCCCTCCACCCAGGCACGCAACCTTGGCGTTATATTTGACCCCACCCTCTCCCTCTCCCTCGAGCCCCACATTCGTCAAGTTGTAAAAACCTAATTTTTCCACCTCCGCAATATTGCCAAACTCCGTCCCTCTCTCACCCGCCTTGACTATTGCAACTCACTCCTCTACGGCATCAGCACTACATCCCTCAATAGACTCCAGCGTGTCCAGCACGCAGCCGCCAGACTCCTCACCCACACCAAATCATGGCATCACATCGCCCCGGTCCTCAAATAACTCCACTGGCTCCCCGTTTCACACTGCATCCACTACAAACTCCTGGTCCTCACTTTCAAAGCCCTCCACCATCTGGCCTCCCCCTACCTCACTGACCTCCTCATCCTCTACCAACCACCCCGGTCCCTCAGATCCACCTCAGCCGGTTTGCTTTCCATCCCCAAGGCCAAACTCCGGAGCTCCGGGGACAGAGCCTTCTCTGTGGCAGCCCCGAAGCTCTGGAACTCCCTCCCCCAAGACCTCCGTGAGTCTGAGTCCCTCACCCTGTTCCAGTCCCGCCTCAAAACCCACCTCTTCAACTCTGTATATCCATAAGCCCCCCCCCTCTCAACCAACTTCCTCCTGACAGCTTTTCTGTTTTGTTTTGTTTCTTTGTTTCTTTTTTGTTTTGTTTTTGTTTTGTTTGTCTACCCTCCTTCCCAAATGTAAAGCGTCTTTGGGTTCAAGAAAAGCGCTATACAAATATAATTCATTATTATTATCCCATTAATATCAATCATTTGTTGTGTTGTATTATATTACAAGTTTCCTAGAATATTCAGTTAAATGTCCTTTATGCAAATGTGACTTTAAGGGTACTAATGACCTTTTAATGGCCACTTGGGCAGTGCAGCAAACAGCATTCATATTTTATCGACTTGTAAACCTATTATGGTGAATAATTGATATGTTTTGAGGTGTGAATGTGAAAAGAGAGCATTACTCACAGTAACTCCCGAATGAATAACTAAATGTGGAAAACAAACAGTAGATTTTGTACAAATCAAGAATATACATTAGTATTCCTTTGATGTCGGGTATATGCCCCCCAGATGTATACAAGCCAAACACTAACTGCCATTTCAGCTTTGCTTTGTTCACCACCAACTTTGGAGGAAAAACATGGCTCTTTAGTCCCTTACGCTCCACAATGATCAACAGCTGCAAACACTGGTTGGGGGCTGGACAGATGGTGCAGTGTGTTTTTACAGCTTTGTTTCCCCCAAAAAACTGCTGTCTGCTACTGGAAACAAAGCTGATGAGAGCCATGAGAGTAAATCACAACCCTGAAGTTGCAGTCACAAAAACCGAAACAATTAGCTAAACGATATGCAACACTGAGCAGATCTGCAGTTGCGGGTAAGTGAACTTGAAGTAAGTTTATTACATCTTTGTGGGAGGTGGACAAATACTGAGGATCTTGTTGCGATAGTATAGTAGTCATTTCTTAAATATGAGGACATTGTGGGGTTTTCCCATGATTTATTCATAAAGGTTTATTCAGTCACATTTCAGAATTATTGCCAGTGTTGACCGTTTTGCAACAGCCAGCTGCCGCAGGCTGATTTCATCCACAAACTCATCCCCCACATGTATTCCCTACAAGGGAGTCACAGCCATTTAGTGAAGTTATGTCACTGGTGTGCTTTTTTTACGGACAACAAGGGGAGTGAAACGTGGGTAAACATTCATATATGCATGCCGCAGGTGGTAGTGACATCAGTGGATGATTAAGGGGACCACATGAATGCTAGCTGTTGTTCCTTCTCTGCGTGGGAGCGTTACTACAGCTGGGTTTACAAAATGTATTTCATTCATAATTAAAATGCAGCAGGTACAAGTGGAACAAAAAGTCCCATTAACATTTAAATAAAATGCTGTGGTTTAACACTCAGTTTGTTCTTATTTCATATCAGTGGCGTAATGCTTCAGATGGCTGGAGACAGGAACATGTTCTCTGGTGATATAAAAAGCAGTGAAATGGTTCCATCTTTATAAGACTAACGTAAACCATCGGTACCTACTGACACAAAACCGACATCCGATCACAATCCTTCCTGCGAGATGACTAAATTTGGCCCGGCAAATGGACAGAAGTGAACTGCCATTTTTTATAGTTTGACAGCTCTTTTATCAGCTGTACCTTTTTCAGTACAGCAGCAATGATTGATTATCGCCTCCTGAAAATAGATTAGGAAATGAGTAATTTTTTGCCTGTTTTCTCAAACTGGAAATCAGCAGTGTGAGGAGACTTCAGTAATTAAATATGTTAGAAGTGGAGGTCTTTGGATGGAAATAAATGTAGTTTTGTCAACAATACGTTGTCATAACAATGTCCTTAGAATCAGAGAGCTAATGTCAGTATAATTATAATGATGTATTTTTGGTCAACCTTCATAAATTCAGTATCTAAAATGAATACGTTAGTTCAACAAGTTAAAAAGTCCTGAGAGGGGGATGCTTGATAGCTCAGTGGTTAGAGCTGGCGGATCCTATGCAGTGTGCGCTGCCAACTACGCAGGTTTGACTCCTGAGACCTCGGAAAATGCTATACAACGTCATCCCCTCTACCCCTTTTCACCTCTGTATCTATAATAAAATGCACAGTCTGAAAAAAAAAACTGAGAGGTCTAGTAGACTCCTGCACTGGGTTTACTACTTGGGTAAACCACAAGAAAAAGTAAAAAAATATAATGTGAAAATGATATTATATAATAAGAATAAGAGTGGTAAAAAATGGTAAAATGGTAATAAATGGTATAAAAAAAAATCTGAAATGTAATAATATTAGAATTGCATATTCATCTTTACTAAGATAATTGAACAGACTCTATAAAAGCTCACATGACGTTATGAAGAGCAATTCTGGTACCCTTTGCTTAACTGTGACAGATGTGCTAAAAAATAAACAGGATTTTGGCATGTTGAGTGTTACAAATGAGCTGCAATGATCTACTATCAAGGCGAGAAAAACAAGTGAACATATTCCATAAAAAACATGGCTCATTCAATCTGTGTTCTATTCACATTGTTAGCGTGTGTGCATTGATCGATTTTGGGACCATGTCAAATTTGTGCAAGATGCAGTCAAAACATTACAGTTGTGTAATTGAGATTAAAATGAATGAAGTAGAAAACAAAATGAAGATTGAGTTTAGTCAATGATACCACCTTCATCTCAACCCACAATTTGTTTAATAAATTAACTTATTTATTTATCAGGCACATGTAGTATCCTGATGAATAAGGGTTTTATATATACTGCCTATACCAGCAAAAAGTTATAAGTCTTTTTAATTACGCCCCGAACTCTGAGGCCCACCATAAGGAAAAAATAGCATATAGTTAAACACTGATCAATGAGTATAAAGAGGGCGTCTGTTAGAGATACACTGGATGTATACTGTACAATAACTTATATTGCAAAAACCACTATAGGGGCCGGAATATATTATAAAGTAAATGTAAACTTAATAGACCTAGTTTATGTTTAGTGCTTTTCCAGTCTTTGCAAACTCGAAAAACACTTTTACAAATCAGCACTCACCCGTGTACACACATTCATAGAGGCAGAGGCTACCAATGGAGACTAACCTTCATTTACATTCACTGCAAGCGCTGGGTTTGAACCACCACACATTCATTTACCGACTCAAAAATGAATTGGATTTTGTTTAAAAAGGTAATCTTTAAAGTGTCCATTTCAAAACTTAAGATTTTCCGAGTGTCATCTATTTTTTTGCTGGTAAATCGCAGGTGTAGGCATCAAGTTTCACTGCACATTGAACGAGTAGAAAAAAAATTAATTACCACAGTTCTCCTCATCCGCTTGATTCCCACAGTCATCGATGCCGTTGCAGTGCAGGAGCTGAGGCAGGCACACGGTCAGGTTGCCACAGGGGAAATATCCAAGGGGGCACGTCTCTTTTTCCTCGCTGATATTGAATGCTGTAAACAAAGCAAAAGATTCAGACGTTTGATTGGGAATGCAAAATACCTGCCACTTGTGTATATATGGAGAGCCCTTGTCTAAGATGTCCTATGGCAACTTGTGCTTTATCTCAGAGTCTTTATTATGAAGAGGCATTGAACAAACAGTACATATGAACATACTGTATGTGGAGAATGTAGGACATTTGCTATTAAAAAGGTGGCGGAGGAAAGGATTAATTCCCTCATTACACCCCATCTTCATTATAAATATTCCTTATTCATGCACCATTGTGAGTGTGTGTTATGCATGTGGTGCACAATACAGGACAAGGATAAGACACATGCAGATTATTCAGTCAGCCTGTATGACATACCTGAACTGGACCTAATTAAGAAGAGAATATTATTTATGATAATATCTACTCGGCACTTACAGCAGCCTGGCATCATGCTAAATTATAGATGTATCATCTCATTATGTCGCAACAGGACCTCTCACAATTCCTTAGTCTTTGTCCTTCATTAGGGAATAACGATAATGCGTTTTATCCCGTCATTTGTCATTTACTCTGAATCTTTTTATCGATAGTTAAATATACAGTAGGTCAATCTTATTTGGTGCAAAATAAACACATTTATTACTTTATTTATACATGCATTCAGCTTTTAAGCTTTCAGGTAGCAGTATCAAAGAGCTCAGGATGCTTCTTCCACGCTGAGCTGCTCAATGACTTGTCAGGTGTTTGGTATTGTTGGCTAAATAAACACAGATGCTCTTTATACAACATGTATTCAAAGGCAATACAAAATTCATCATCCTGCTGCGCCCCGTTTGACTGTACGACCCGCATCAGACTCAAAATACTAATAGCTGCTTTTAACCTCCGTGTCAACAGCTCTTTCCAGCGAATATGCAGATATAATGAAAAGTGTTTTTTCTGCACCGTTCACTTGTGTCTCCACTCTCCAGGTATAAGTATTAACAACTCAGTCGTCAATCAACAACCTATACAAAACTATAATTTGGTTATCACTCTTTTTGAAAACACATTATGAGATGTCACTTACCAAAAGGATTTACAAAATGTGTCACAAAACCTGTTCTGATTGTACATTTTATTTTTCAATTAATATCAGACTGTTTTAATGCAGTCCACATTTCTCAAGTGATATTATTATGAATTAAAGCACAAGAGATCCATTGAGTGTTTTTAGTCATGCAGCACATTTACAATGGTGAGGCGACAGTGAAGTGCTTCCACTTTAGCTGTGAAACTGCAACCTGACAGAAAGCATACTGATGAATCACACTAAAGCCAGATGGTAAACATGTTAGAAGAAGTCATTTTTATAGAAAAAATGTCAAATAACCAACCATTTCCTGGATAATTAACTCCTAAAGTATTGCCAAATGTGACATTATTTTTAACTCCTAATGCATCATGCACTGTTGCCTCTCCTTATCAGCCTCTGTTTGGCCATCTCAGCATATTGAATCAGGGGATGAGGCTGTCAGTGATGGTGGGCTGTCTAAGTGGATGTCCAGCAAATCATTGTTTCCATCCATTTACTGTGGGAAATGGAAGAAACCTCTCAACCACCAACATAATACGATTTGTTTTTGTTATTTTGTTGTGACATTATAATTAACTCCTAAAGTATTGGCAAATGTGACATTATTTTATGAAAACACATCCTTTTATGTGAACAATGCCTGCCACTAAATCACCAAATCAAATTACTATACTCAAAGGAACTCCTTTACAGCATATAAGTTCCGGCTTTGACAAGCATTGTGTCATTAAAGATCAGTGCAAATATGTAGCCTGTGAGAGATATAAGGCTATAGTGTCATATGAATCATCCCTATAGATGTGGCCCATTGTTGAATGTCCTTGATTATGCTTGCCAGTCAAAGTATAACCTTTTCAGCTGTAATGTACACTATTTTCTACTGACGTAAAGGTTTCCACTCTCAACCAGCCACTGTGTTCTGGGGACCAGAAAGACTATAAAGCGATTAGACTTGAAATTTAAAAAAGGATGTCTTGGATCATTGCATTTAACGGCTCCTGCTGTTCAGCGTGTTGAAAAGAAAAACTCTCAAACAATAAATGTTTCACAGGAGCAGGACAGATTCAACATATAAAATTCATATCACATCTCATGTCGTGCCTTCTTTAGTGATGCTTCAAACAGAGTATTCCCATACAGCACATATACAAGATACTTTTTTTCTCCAATTTGTAGCACCACAGTTCAATTTGTGTTATTGCATGTGAGGTATATGGACTGCATGCATTTATATTTAGCTTTTCCCTTCTGAACTACCCTTCAAAGCCCTTTTACATATACAAATCATGGTCATCCATTCATACAGAATACACGTTGCAATCTGCTTGGGAAACACAACATTCACACACAGCTGGCCATTGGGAGAAACCTGAGAATAAGTATCTTGCCTATAGGCTGAACGATTAATCGATTTTAAATCGAAATCGCGATTTTAAATGATGCGATTGTCAAATCGCAAAGCCTGCGATTTTTTTAAACTTTTTTTTTACATTTGTTTTTGTTTTTCTTGTGTGTCAGTCATCCAATCAGGAGTGCTGTGCTCCACATGTACCAGCCATTGTTAACCAATCAGAAGTGGCCCATGATAGAAGGTGATTGACAGATTGATCCAATCACCTGCCAAGTATCTTTGAAAGTGCCTGCCCTTTCCAAATGGCTTCCAATGGAGCTTTAGATGCTTTGGTGAAACAAACCATCTGGGTCAGGTTAGCAATGCTCCATCACCTGTTTCTATTACAGGGTGAATCTTAAACTGAAGCTTGACTTTAAAGCAACCCAACGGAGGTTTCATGTAAGTTTAGTTATTTCACTTGTAGCTCGGGCTGCGGGGGTGCTAGAGACGGGAGCACGTTGATGCGACCTTCCTACCCGAAGATATGGCCGCATTTTACAATAAACTTCCGTTGGGTCACTTAAAAACAAATATCGCAAATCGAATCGCAATCGCAATATTTGTCAGAAAAATCGCAATTAGATTTTTTTCCCAAAATCGTGCAGCCCTAATCTTGCCCCAAGGACACATCGAAATGTAGGCTGCATGTAGGCTGGGATTGAACCTCCAAACTTCCAATTGGCAGACAACCAGCCACAGACTGAGACATTCTTAAATCAACCAGAGACAGAAAAAGTCTCATTTATATTTCAAATAAACCACTCAACTTGAAAGTTTATATTTGCTCTGCTCCTGAAGACACAAAAGGTTTCCTTTTTTAAATAGCTTAATTGGATAGAATGTGAATTTTTTTTTTTAAATGTGCCTGATGCACCAAGCACTCAACTTTCTTCAGACGTCGGGCGTTGTTGGGCCACCAGTTTAATTTTGGTCCTGTTGCCTCTATGCTGAAAAGTGCATACAAAAACCTTCTTAAATAAAAACACAATCGCATGAAATGCTTTGATTATTCAGGTAAAAGTTGCACTCAAACACTGTAAAGAAACAGCAGAAGGCCAGCCAACTACCGACACGCATGCAAGTTAAGTTGTGTGCATGTGGATTAGGAAAGATTCATGTATTCATGATTTAACAAATCATAAAAAGATTAACAGAACTAAATATTTGGTCATTGCTTTTTGGTCTTCACCCACTAAAGACCAGCCAAAAACCTATTTACTCCACTAGTTATAAATCTTTCTAGGGATATAAAACAAGAGTCTGTCTGGTCTGATAACAAAAAAAAATCGGATTATGTTGGTGGTTGAGAGGTTTCTTCCATTTTCCACAGTAAATGGATGGAGACAATGATTTGCTGGACACCCACTTAGACAGCCCACCATCCCTGACAGCCTCTGCCACTGATTCAATACGCTGAGTTGGCCAATCAGAGGCTGATAAGGAGCGCTGAGAGGCAGCAGTGCGGGATGCATAACATAAACCACAGGCTCTACACATCCTGGTGACAGACCAACAGATCTTTAGGGCATTACTGTTTGAGCTGAAACATTTCCTATCTTCTGTTGACTGTGACAACATGAAATATATAATCTTATTTGGTCGGTTTTTCCTGCAGAAGATCCATTTTCCACAAGGTAGCACAGGAGCGCAGGTTATGACTTTGAATATTTTGCTTTAGCTAAAATGCATGCAGTTATGCGACATATATATTCCCATCTTTGCCTTACAGTAGCATGAGGGCATCAGCAGTTTCAACCTCAATGCACAAAGCCAAGCTGTTTTACAGCCAAACTAAACAGTATCTTTATCACACAGATTATTTGAAAGATGAGTTGATTCATTCTTGGTAAAGATACAGTTTCTCAAGGTCCACAGTGATGTCTTTACATGTAAATGACTTGTTTTGTCCATCGTAAACCCACATATATACACTTTAATATGATATAAAACAGAGATAGGTGGGAAATCTCCATATTTACATTACGAGGTTGAAAACGAGGAATTACTTAATAGTTGGCTGGTTAGGGCTTTTCACATATTAAACTATTCTACTCCTCTTTGTATCACTATTACAGTTTCAAAGCTCCAATAAAAGTAATCTTGTAAATTGGGTTTTCAGCTTTTCTCAGGATTCAAAACTCTATACTCTATTCGGTCTATAGGCTATGCTGTAAAATGTATTATCTCTTCGATTTACACACGGCATCTATTGCACGTCTGTCCGTCCTGGGAGAGGGATCCCTCCTCTGTTGCTCTCCCTGAGGTTTCTCCCATTTTTTTCCTTAAACTGTGGGTTTTTCTCTGGAAGTTTTTCCTTGTACGATGTGAGGGTCTAAGGATAGAGGGTGTCGTTTTTCTCAACAATCTGTGCTGTTGTATTTGCTGTAAAGTGTCTCTACTGTAGGCTATTTTTATTATATGGACAGCACTTTGGCTCGACCAAAAATCGTTTATAAATGTGCTATATAAATAAAACTTGATTTGATTTGATTTCATATATTTCAGGGCATATCTTGCAATGGAGTTATTGTGCACATTAGTGTGTCAGCCGAAGTGCCAAAACTCGGTTTATGAAGACAAAACACACGCACTGGATTAAACTATTTTGCTCTATGGACTAAAAGCTATATTGTGACCTGAAAGACTCTTGATAAGTCTGTCTGACCCAGAAAAAGAGCTTCTGCCAGTTTAAATTTAGTGTGGATACTTTGTTATTCCTCCAGGCTTCACACAGACTTGAATCCTTGCCGTTGCAGAAAGCATACAGAACTACATTACAGTGTCCGATAAGAGATTGCAAATGTACTGTTAAAGGGGAAAAAAAGCTTATTAAAAAGGCTTTAAGGCGGCAAGACATCTACCACTGACATGAGGAGATTCACAGCACTACAGAGCCCCCTATCACAAACAGGGGACAAACCACAAAGAACCAGTATTGTTCAACATGAGTGAAACAGGAATACTGTGCACCTTTAAATCCACAAACTCATGGTATTATAAGAGAATAATTGGGAAATGCCTCCCACTATTTCCAATCTCTTCCACTCACGATAATTTAGCAATTTATAGGCGGTTTCTAGCCTACTTAGTGGGTGGCAGATTGCATTGAAAATATCAATACGGCTCCCTTATGTGTTGAACCCAATACAATAACACAGAGATTATAAATGATATCCTGCTGATACAGTGACACACACAACATCTATCAAAATCATACAAGAACACGTCCTCTCTTTCTTAAAGAGATCAAATGTCAGATCAAGTCACTGGGATAACCTCCTAGTTAGGAAAGCAAATGTTTTGTAAATTGTGTGCAAAAGAGCATATATGATTGATGAGGGCACAATATGTTCACAAGACACTGAAGATTCAAATACTTTATGAATTAGTTATTTATTGAACTTACCAGACACCCCGTACGCGAATATCACAGCCACATAAACTTGCATGGTTCCTCGTGAAGTTTTATTGAGAACCGCGTTGGTGGATCAATATGTTCTCAATGGTTGTCCAAAGTGTTTACAAATAACACCAAAAAGTTTGTTTGCCCGCAGATCAAACGCGCGGTAGGAGCGCAGACTGTATTTAGGGTTGGAGCTCCTGCAGGAGGACCTGTAGCCACTTCGCAAGGTCGAGTCGGTCTGCACCCGGTCCTACAGAGAGGAAGGTCTGAGGAATCACTTTCCATCGTCTGACGCACGATCTGCAGCAGCAGCAGCAGCAGCAGCACAGGTGCAGCGCGCTCAGAGGGGTGGAGGGAGAGAAACAGAGGGGGAGGATTCAATCTGGGACTCTGCAGAAGAGGGAAATCCATGCTCCAAATGAAACGCGACACTAATTTGCTGCTCATCAAATTCCATGCTGATCTCGTTCATTATATGCGTGTTGTTGTATACACTCGCCAGGTGATATAGATATAGCAAATCAATTCTCCCCATGTGGGTTTAAAGGCTGGTGCATTCAGGGGCGTCGCAAACTATCTCTTCAAACTCAGAACAGCTGTCATGTTTTATTTTTCAAGACAATAAAAGGTCGAGATTTTCTTTCCAGTGCAAAACATTTAAATCTTCAAAGTAAACAGTGAGTCCAGAGGATGTTATCAGTTTATGTTCGAGTTCACATAAAAAGGCTTGCTCCCAGGCAGGGGCTTTGATCTGACAAGCCTGAAAATCGGATTCCCAGTCTTTACTGGCTCATCTTTTTTCCTCCTCACACAATAGCAATATGTTCTCCCCATATAATCAGCCTTTATGTAACCTAAGTGCAGAGCAACTCTCACACAGTTACAGGGCAATACAAAGTTAAGAATTCTTAAAGGGTTCGAGCTGAATCAATCAATATTTTATACAATGGATTCAGTTATCAAATGTCACTGTTTTGGTTTACTTGTGTTGATCGCAGGTGGTCAAACAGCACACAAACGTTGTAAACAACCAGCTGGTTAAGCACTTAGCAGCTGAAAAGAAATACATTTTCATCAAGAGTTTGTTAAGAAAGACGAAGTAAACAGAGATAAACTTTGGACTTACACTTGTCAATGCAATACATGACTCACAAAACAACATTATGAGGAGGTCACACTGTGACAATAGAGGCAAGTTTACTTCAACTTATAATAATTAAGTAAATGCTGATTGTAATGACCACAGCACAATGAAACCATTAGTATTTGCATCAAGGTTGTGGTTTAATAGACTTTTTGCTTAGTAAAGTTCCTCATTAAGTGAAATGACCCAAATGTGTCAGTCATGATTAGAGCTGTTTGGATTCTCTGGATGATAAAGAAATTAGCTTTAATGCTTCCTTTGTTTCCCACTGTTCTCTACACTACAGGCGTCAAAAAATGCTTTCAACGCTTCGCCCATTCATTTGAATGGGGTGACGTAGGATATTTTCAAACTTCGCAAACAAAATCCGCATCTAAAGATAGCCTACGTTATTTTCCCCTGTGCAATTCCAGTCTCACATCTCACAGCACATCGTCATTAACAAATACCGGAAACAGACCGAAAACATTTAAAAAATAAAATAATACTTTATTCCGAGTGTGCTTGCTTTTCTCTTTGAAAGTCATCACATAACGGCATTGTAATACACGGTTCGGCTGCATTAAATATCACATATCTGCCGTAGTTCTGTATTTATAGAGCCCTGATGAGAAGACTTCTAGACAAACATGAGGAACTGAAAACGTGACGTGGATCATAAATATATCAGCCATTAAACAACATCTTACATTTCTTTTCACACAATACGTCTCCTTGCAGTATCAACACTAATTCGGCTGACTTTTATATTTCATCCAATTGGTAGATAGGCTGTATTTACACCATAAAGGTGCACAGCTGATATAAAGGGACACCTAGTGGTTAAAGCATGTTATTGAATTTCATTATTTGTATTATTAGATATTAATAGGATCCCTATAAAGCATATGCATTACTCGTTATTCTCTACTAATAGTTAATTGAAGACTGTGTATAATGACTATTTTGCACATCCCTTTCAATATTTCAAGATTTTCTAAGGTTTATTGACATCTCATATAGGCCTACACAACTATGGTGTAGTTCTGCATTGAATGAAAAACTTGGGTCGCAGGTTCCTCAATAGTGCATTACAAGACATCTATCAATATTTGTGCATACCTCCAGCAATGTTAACTATGTTGAAGCACTTATTTTAACTGATATTATACATAATGTATTATACTCTTATAAGATGTATGTAGATATTTCATCTCCGGCCTTGTCAGGTATTGAACAATCAATAAATAAAGAACACAGAATTGTTAAATATGAAACACAGAATTTGTGTGATTATACTAAATGATTTACAAATAAACACCACTGCATATTTACAACTGTTACACATGCTGATGTAACGCAAATGTTCCAACTTGGGATCAATAAAGTATATCTTATCTTAAGCTGATCGATGGCTACTGCCATATTTGCAAAATTTGCCTCTGAACCTTAACAAGTGCATGTTTCAGGCTTATCAATTAATGTAATGTAATGTTATCAATTAACAACAGGGGTCACAAACATAAGACCAGCTGTTAAATAAAGCTCTTCTGACCTTAGCTGGCATGTGTGTATATATATTGATGCTGCCCATTATGAGCACAAGCAATTTTCACCCATTTATTAATTATATGTTTTAAATTTGAGTGTTTCCTATCCCCTAAACCTCCAGGGATGTACACAGTTTAATACTGGCAACTTCTTATTATGGGAAATACGAAAACGTCTTTTAAAACTACAACTCCCAGTAGAGATGTGCCATAGATATAGAACATGTTGCGAAACAGAATAGCCAGCATGTGTAGTTCTGGGGACGGGGTGGGGGAGGGGGGGACGCGGTGGACCCGTTCAAATCCAGTTTTGGACAGTCTGCCGTGGTTCCATCCCATTTCAAGTGCTGTTCGAGAATCGGCGTAACCCTCGGAGCACACTCTCCAATCACAGAGCTTGAGGACTATCACAGGGTTTGTCAAACAGAGCACATGGTGTAGTCCAAACGATAGCTGGGGATTCTGGGTAGTGTAGTGTCTTCTGCCATCCTTTACTCCGAAACAATATTTGTTTCTTCGAATCGAAGGGGAAAAATACAAAAGCATTGCACACAATTTAAACCAATCAATGTTGTGTAATTAACAAGGATAATCTGGTGTTTTTTAGTCGATGAGTAGTGCAGATATCACTGTAAAATCAATCGACAGTAAGGGGAATACTTACTTCTGGGTGTACAATTCTCCGTTATCCAATGGGAATGGACGCTCACATTGCCTTTAAGGGCAGCCGACACAAACGAATGCCGTGCTTCCATGAGCGTCAAATCCCGCCGCAGATGGGAATACATTGCAATCAGTTGAAAGCTATTTGCGTCCCTTTATGACGCTGAAGGAGCCTAGGAGCGTCACAACTGGATGCCACGGACACTGACCAAACGTCGCTCCTGGACGCTTAGGGAGTGAGAATGTGTTGGAATACACAGGGCACTTGTTAACACATCATTTGACACATCATTATATTTGCGTTGTGTGTATGTGCAGTAGTGCTGTAGCGACGCGTCGACGCGTCGCCACCATAGACTGTATATATGGTCGCCACACACACGTGGGTCACTCAAAGCAACAAGCAGTTCGCAATCGCACTTCTAACACAATGGAGACTGAAACGGCTATCACCTCCTCCTCACAGGATTGCGCACGAAGCCCTCAAACGAAAACATCTCGCCCTAGGTCTTCAAAAGCATGGGAATATTTTTAAGTTAGTCCAAAACGCAAAGATATTTATATATTTATATCTCACTGAGACTGCTGCTTGACCGGAAGCAGCAGCTAGCTGTGGTGGCAACCATTAGCAGCTAGCATTTGCTCTCCGATTTTTACATAAAAATGGAATTATGGATTATAAATTCAATAATTTGTTTATACATAGACGTTAAAAACCTATGGATTAACCGATTCAGCCGCGTTTTTTTCTCATTTTAATGCCATTGAACACGTATTTTGATCAGATTGACAGCTACGGCGGTGAGACGATCTCCCTAGAAGCTCTGTGAAGGTACGTGTTGTGATGACTGTATTTGCTTCCCCTGTCGCGAGTCCGGATCACTCAGTGATGATACTATGTACCTACATAATCTGTGGAGTCTCAGCTTTAATCGGATATCTTGTATGTGCAGCTACGATAAGTAATAAGGGTACTTTTATCTTGAGTTCTGTGCCAATTCCGTTAGCATTTTTCGCTCAGGGGTCATTTAGATAGCATTTTAGTTTGCTTCTTATGAGACTTGTGTTTTGTTTTGGTAAACATGGTTTGTATCGTCAGTTAGCTGAGATTATTTCCGTTAATCTGGTATAACACATTAATAGGTTCTTAAATATTAAGATCCCCTGAGACACAGTATCGTGAACAACATTTTTTTTACATTACGTTTTTTTTACATTACGTTTTTTATGAATTGAACAACAGAAAAATAATCGTTCGATTAGTCGACTAATCGATCAAATAATCGCCCGATTAATCGTTTTCAAAATAATCGTTTCCCCCCAGCACTAATGTGCAGTTGGATTCTCTTTGCGCCGCAGTTCTCTTTTCTAAGTTCTGGTGTATTCAGCTTCCTAGCTTTTACTATGCAATTGTGTCTGGAACTGGGTACAATCCATCGATGCTGGGCACCGTTCATTCCTATGAGAGTTGCTCAGTGGCGCAGGACGCCCACAATCAAGAGACTGAATATTCAAAAAGTACCCATTTCTGGGCCCATAGAGCATGCACAATTGAATGTTTCATAAGCCTTGCCTCCTAGACCCTATCAATTTAAATAAGGGCTATAAAAGTGTTTCTTCTAGGTGAAAAAATAAAAAATACGCTGTTCACAGACATCTCCTTCCCAATATAGGTCAATGGAACAATGTATTTTTGGCATTGTTCGGCCACTACGAAAATTCGGCCGCTACGAAAATTTGCTTCAACAGTAGGCGCAACAAGTCTTGGGGACTTGGTACAATCTCACAAGAAAACAAAGTCCTGATTTACGGCACAAAGTAGTATTTCTACTATTACCGATCCAAAACAGCAAAAAGTTAGTGCTTTTGTTTTCCTGGTACAGTACCTATCTTGAGCTATTGTTTGCTATCCCAAGTTTGCAATGAGAATCAATGTCAGTTA